CAAGCTTCTTCGCCGCCCACCCCACCCCCCCGTGTAAATGTTACGCGACGACCCTAATCCTTTTTTCGAGCAATGCATCGGGAAAGAATTTACGTTACGTTAGCAATTGTGTTGCTCTAATGCTGTATAGTATTGTGTATACATATATATATATATATTGGGTGTTGAAAAATAAATAAAAAAGGATCCCAGGAGATAAATTTTTTCAAGGGAAAATTTCGATCGAGGGTTGTGAAAAATTTTTAAATTTTTAGAAAAATTTAGAAGACCGTTGGAATTATATATTTGGAAACATCTTTGGCAATTGGCGATGCAAATATTGATTCATTCACGCGTGACGTTGTTTCATTAGTTTCGTTAGTTTGATGTTCATCGTGTAAAAACTCGGACGGAAAAAGGATTGATAAATTTCTTTTTTTATATTTTTTTATTTATTAACTATTTATGAAATTACACAATAGTGAGAGGGGGAAGCATATGATTTTATAAACGTTTGAAAAAAGAAAAAAAGGAAAGAATGTTTTTCTTTTTCAGAGAATTATTAAGTATTAATTCAGTAAATGCATACGCTTGTTACACAATACATGCACATATTAATTTGCTAAGTAAATGTATTCACAAGCGATGAAATTTAAACCTTATCTCTAAAAGCATACATTTTCCCTTAATTTATTAAAAGTAGTGTAAACTCAAATTCATCATTTAAATAGACGCTTTTATTATACAAATTACCATAACGTAGTACTATATTATTTTTAACAAATATTCTTAACAAACGAACTCATCTTTTTATTATTTCTACCTAGTCAAAATCTAGATCATTGGCGCAATCTCTAAATTACATTTCCCCATATAAGAGAATACCACGAAACGAAAAATCTCTTTACCAAAAATCTCTCATAAACACGCGTCTCTTAACCTAATCGCGAAACACGAATTCGTTAAAAAAGAAATTTCTTCCCTTCGCGCACGAGCCTCGTTTAATTATTTACCCTCCCCTGAGGAGAGGAGGTTACTTATTTTCGCGGAAGAAAGTCGGAGAGGGAGGGGGGGGGAGGGGGAGGGCGGAAGTCCGCGCTAAATTTTATCATGGAATTTACGCGCGTAAATCCTTGGCCCACCGTTATTAATCCTCCTCCACCGTTGCAAAATTAATCGCGGGACAATAAATAATTTAATAAGGTGTCAGGCGCACCAACACCGATAGCCTAAGTACATTACTTTCGAGATTCGATCCCTTCCCTTGCCCCGCCATTCTTGCGCTTCCAACCCCATCCCTCCTTCCCCCTCCCCCCTCCAGGCCGCGCCATTACTTAACAAGCTCTGCTTTATGGTTAAATATTGAACGAGGGAACGGCATCGTTACATCGTAATCCTAATCCCATTTCCAGCTTTACGCACTAAGGAAACTAATGCAAGGGCCGCCGACCACCCCGAAAGCGCCCCTGGGAAACAATTCGAGGCCGTTACAGGATCTTCATTACAGGACTATACGGACGAACATCGATTTTCGCAAGGTGAATTGACTTCTTCGTCTTCTCCCCGCACCTCTTCCGTGTGATTATTTTTCATTCGGTTAAATCGCGATCTACTGAAGTGAAGAGGGGGATGGGGAAGGGTGTTGCTCGATTGAGAGATCTTTACGATCGGTTTACGCCTGCTTGGAGTTCAAAATTAAATCGCGAAGGGATGTGTTTTTTTTTTTTTTTTTTCTTCTTTTTATCGACGAGAGATATACACGTGATTTATAAACGTAAGAATGCGATATGTTCGAAAAATTTGGAAATAAATTTAGAAATAAATATTGGTTGTGTAGTGAAGAGGGTTAAGATTATTTAGAGAAAATTGTAAAGTAGGTTTTTTTTTTTTTAATAATACGTATATTTAGTGTTTCGAAATTTACAATTAATTTAATATCAGAAAAATTATAATATAATCGAAAGGATAGAATTTTAATTAATTTTGAGAAAATCCAAAAATAAATAGCTTTCGTTATTTTTACAAGTTTTAACATTTGTGCAGTTAAATAAAATTTTTTCTTCTTTCTTTTTCTGTTGAACAGAGACCTGATGCGAAGTGTCCATCGATGGCCCAGGACATGCATTATAGAGGTAACCCAGGAAATTATCCAGGCTCGAGCAGCCCCGAAACTTCTTACATTTAGCGAAGGGATCGTCTCGATGAGAATCTGAAAAGATGACTTTTTCTTTCCAGCGAACACGTGGCAGGACGATGGCTCCCTCTCGCACAACGTCGTCTGAATCGCGGCCTCCAACGCAAGACCAGAGACATTTTCGGCTTTCAACGCGACAGGTTCACGCGGATATTTTCCTAAAACCGTTGTGCATAAGCTTGACATGGTCACGACAAAACTTCAGGGGACTCGATTCGTCCAATTGCAGACAATTCCAATTCGATCTTGCGAATCGTCGTGAGAGACGACTAAGATCGGAGGATAATAGGATTAAGAAAATTCTAATTAATTACACATTGTCCCGAATTTCGAGTTCTCAAAATTCTGTTTCGTTGTGATTTCGAAAATTGAGATAAATCGATAGGAAAATTTGAAACTCGCGTTGCGCGAAGGAAAAAAAATTTTCATTCTCTTCGTTTCAGGGACAAATTCGAGAAAATTCCAATAAATATTAGCGAAAGAACGCTGTCGCCGTCACGTGCAACAACTTGTTGAAATTAAATTTTCATTTTCTCCGTCAACAGTTATATTTTACCAGCTCTTAATTCGCAAAAACCTTGGATTCGTCCGATATTTTTTCGCAACATCCTCCATCAACAAAAAAGGAACACACAACAAGTTCGATACAAAAATTTCGATTCACTGTGCGAGATACGACGTAATCGATGCGATCGATGTGACGAAAATTATCGTCGATAATTAAGAAACAGGGAAACGAATCGATCGAAGGTGTTTCGAGGAGGCGGCGATTTGCCTCGTTTCCCCGGCAGCTGCATCCCCGTTCTTTGCGAAAGGGGTGGAAGATTCACGAGCTACGAGGGACGGGCACGGGTTCCAGAGGCGGCTCGTTTCTCGAGCTATCGCGACCGGACCGATTCTGACGGGGATGATAAGTGTGTTTGAGCGCAGCTGGAATTTGTATTTGTCGCTTGAACACCATCCGGAAATCGTTCTCGTCGTTCTTTCGAGGGAGGGAGGGAGGGAGACGCCTCGAAATCGAGGCGAGCGTGCAATGGAAATATTTCCTTGGATACTCGCCTCGACCGGTGTCCAACATCCTCTAATTGATCGTGTCTCCTCGTCGACGATTTAATCCAACGTATTTTTCTGGAACGAATTCTTTCTATCCGGTGGTTAGATTTGAAAGTAAGGAGACTTGCTGTTCGAAATGGTGATTTTCTTTTTTTTAAATTGATCTTTTTCAATTAAATAAAATTAAATAATAGATATTTGCACGAATTATTTTCAGTGACTTGGCTGTGGATTACGTGTGAATTTATGCGAAATCTAAATGTAAACGAAAATGGATTTCAAGAAATGAGGCAAGTTTCTTTTATTTTTGTTTGCTGGTAAAAATTTTTATAATCGAATAATTCATTGTTTTAATCAACGAATAAAATTTTCAATATTTCTAGCTTAATCATATATAATAATAAATTCATTGTTTAATTTTTCTAAAGTTGTATTTTATGAAACTGTTAATAACGTTATACGATATATTTTTATTACTATTAATTCGATAATTCTTTATCCGTATTATATGAATTTCAGTTACAAAGAAATCAGTCTCGTTACTTTTAGATCGGACACGCGATTACGATTCGAAAGGAAAACTTGAAATTCTTCTGGAAATTTCTGGAGATATTACCATACGGGGGAAAAGTTTGAGAAAAGTTTCTACAAGTAGTAAAACGATAGAAGATTTGCCATGATTGTATATATACGTGAACGTGATCGCTTTGCGAATCTACTAATCCGAACTTCTATAGTTTAACGCAGAAATCGCAGAATTATTTTTTAGCGAGATAAATCGAAATCTTT